CCTGCTCTTTCCTCTCAGCAAATAAGTGTAATTTTGCAAGAGTTTCAATGGGAAATCACTAGATACCAAACTTACATTCCTGATTTGGCATCCTCTGACTTCTTTTTGTTTCCTAATTTAAAAAAATTTTTAAGGGGCATCCATATTTCTTCAGTTAGTATAAAAAAGATTGCATTGACATGGTTAAATTCCCAGAACCCTCAGTTCCTTAGGGATGGACTAAATGGCTGGTATCTTTGCTTATAAAAGTGTCTTGAGGCCAGGCGAGGTGGCTCATGTCTGTAATCCTAGCATTCTGGGAGGCCGAGGCGGGTGGATAGCTCAAAATCAGGAGTTTGAAAGCAGCCTGAGCAAGAGCGAGACCCTGTCTCTACTAAAAATAGAAATAAATTAATTGGCCAACTAATATATATAGCAAAAAAAATTAGCCGGGCATGATGGCGCATGCCTGTAGTCCCAGCTACTCGGGAGGCTGAGGCAGAAGGATCACTTTAGCCCAGCAGTTTGAGGTTGCTGTGAGCTAGGCTGACACCACAGCACTCACTATAGCCTGGGCAACAAAGCGAGACTCTGTCTCAAAAAAAAAAAGATGTATGCTATTCAAATGTCATGATACTACTATAAAGCTTGAAATCTCTATAAATTCAGGGCATTCTTTTCTAAGAGTAAGTTTATGACAGTTCTTTAAGTCTTTTAAGTTCAGAAATTTGAAAAGTTAATTTTGGTTAAGTAATAGATAACTTTTTCTGGCAGCTGCCAACTGATGTTGGAGGATTGGGGTATGTTAGGTGGCGTAACCAATTCTACACCTTATAGCATAAAATTATTTGACTTGCTCTGATCACTTGCTATTTGAAGTTCAAGGGGATTTAAAGAAATAAGTAACAAAATACTGTACTTGTTTTGGTGTGAGGAGAAGAGCTCTTGGTTTAGTCTTATAGCTATTACCCAGTAAGGAGCCAAACCCAATGTTTAATAATAACAATCAGCTCTTTCCTGGGCTCAGAAAAAGGATTTTATGTAATTCTTCTTCATACCTGCCTTTGATGACGATATCAGCCTTCAATTAAAAAAACCATCAGTAGTTTGAATTGTCCTTACAAACATTATTAAATTGCCGATAATATCCTCCATTACCAAGCAAGAATTGTCCTTTTCAGTCGTTTATATATAATTTATCTTCCATTCCAAGAATATTATAATAAATTCTAAAGTTGTTGACAATAATGAAGTCTCAAAAGGAGGCAAGGCATCCTACAGAAGAAAAAGTTGCAAGTAGGCTGTGCGTGGTGGCTCACACCTGCAATCCCAGCACTTTGGGAGGCTTAGGCAGGTGGATTGCTTGAGGCCAGGATTTCAAGATGAGCCAGGGCAACATACTGAGGCCTCCACTCTAAAAAAGGCTGCAGTCATCATGGCTGCAGTAGTCATTATCCTGCCACTGCACTTCAGCCTTTGCAACAGGACAAGACCCTGCTTCAAAATAAAAAGTAGCAAATCAGGTAGAATTATATAGAAACAAATAGAAGAGGCGAGGAGGTTTGAGCCCCTCTAGTTTGGAAATGATTTCACTATCTGGCACACAATTATGATTACTAAATATGTGCTAAAGGAATGAAAATGTTCATGCATTAGGGATATTTTACAGTGAGGCAATATATTGTAATCTAAGTAGTTGGCTTAACCAGAGTACCTGGCTACTTAGCTATATTTTCAATTTCAAAATTTTTGATAACTTATGAGTTCAATATAGTACTATAGTCATTTAAAAATACTCTGATATTTTCCTTTCATGGTGTAATTCAATTTCTTGCAATCCAGATTTATATATTATACTTTCCTTCCTCCCTCCCTCCCTCTCTCTCTCTCTTTTTCTTTCTTTCTTTCTTTCTTTCTTTCTTTCTTTCTTTCTTTCTTTCTTTCTTTCTTTCTTTCTTTCTTTCTTTCTTTCTTCTTTCTTTTCCTTCCTTCCTTCCTCCCTCCTTCCCTCCTGTCCTTCCTTCCTCTCTCTTTCTCTTTCTCTAAATGAAAAACTCACTTGTGCAATTTAGGCAATAGTACTTTAAACTAGCCCATAAATGAGCTATTGGCCTTGGGTAGGGCCAGCCATAACAACATGTTTAAGCAACAAAATGAACAAAAGAACCTTTGGAATGCACCTGTTTGTTCAAAAATAGCAGGTGGTTGTTAAAAAAAAAGACTCTAAGGAATTCAAATTTCTCTTTAAGGATTTTATTGCTACCCTTCCTACAAAAATCACCCAGATTACTTCTTGACCTCTACTTTGACAGCAGCGAAGTCTTGCTATATGATATTAACTCAGTAGCTCTAGAGCTTCCAGGTACTTTCTTATCTGAACAGTGTACTGCAAATCCTGCATTGCTTGCACATTTGAGTTTATTCCATCACTGGATTACAATATATATTTTTTAATTTTTTTTTTTTTTTAAGAGACAAGGTCTTGCTCTGTCACCCAGGCTGGAGTGCAGTGGTATGATCATAACTCATTGTAACCTCTAACTTCTGGGCTCAAGTGATCTTACCACCTCAGTCTCCAGAGTAGCTAGGACTACAGACATGCATAACCATGCCCAGCTAATTAAAAAACATTTTTCTTTGTAGAGGTGGGGTCTCTCTGTATTGCCCAGGCTGTCTCAAACTCCTGGCCTCAAGCAATCCTCTTGTCTTAGCCTCCCAAAGTTTTGGGATTACAGGCATTAACTACCTCATCTGGCCTACAATATATATTCTTTACATAAACTTTCAAGCAAAAAGCATTCAGGGTACATTTTAAAATTATACACACACACTCCTGTAAGCAATAATTGAAGTTTAAAAAATATTATGATACTTGCAATTTTCATACTTTCAGAGGCATATAATAATTTGAAATTATTCTTAGAGGATCTGTCATAGACCAAATAAGTACTTGAGACAACCTAGGCAATGGTTAAAATTCTCTTTAGAAAGAAAGTAGGTAGCCCTGCCTGTGTGGTGGCATGTGCCTGTAGTTCCAGCTACTTGAGAGATGGAGGCAGGAGGATTGCTTGAACCCAGGAGTTTCAGGTCAGCCTGAGCAACCTAGCAAGATCCCGTCTATAAAAAAGAAGAAGAAGAAGATAGGAATTTATGTTTAGGGCCCAATATGCCACCAATAGAAGCCCAGGAACAGTTAGTAGGTCTATTCATTTCTATTATGATAAGGACAGGGATGCCATCTTATTAATCACAGTGATTACTATAATCTCCAAACTCAGGCCAAATGCAAAATTGTAAGCTAAAGTTATTTTGATTCAAAATAAACTTATAATAAATTTGAAAGTTTCCATTAATTATTTTATAGCAATTATTCAGAATCCATTATCTGTTGTACACTGTTTTAGGCATTGGAATACAAAAATGAATAAGATTAAAATCTCCGCTTTTAAGCTCATATTTTAGTGAGAGGTATTAGTTTTTTTCTCGTTTGCAAGTATTTAAAATACTTGGCTGGGTGCAGTGGCTCCTGTAATCCTAGCACTCTAGGAGGCTGAGGCGAGAGGATTGCTCAAGGTGAGGAGTTCGAAACCAGCCTGAAAAGAGTGAGACACACACTATAAATAGAAAGAAATTAATTGGCCAACTAAAAATATATAGAAAAAATTAGCCGGGCATGGTGGCACATGCCTGTAGTCCCAGCTACTCGGGAGGCTGAGGCAGAAGGATTGCTTGAGCCCAGGAGTTTGAGGTTGCTGTGACCTAGGCTGATGCCACGGCACTCTAGCCCCAGCAACAGAGTGAGACTCTATCTCAATAAAAAAATAAAAAAGTAAAATACAGTGTTCATATACAGCTACAGGTATGTTACAGAACATAAAGAAAGAAGCATTAGTTGAGGACTTCAAAAGTGGGTTTGTACTGTACGTACTGGGAATTGGCTGTTGAATTAAGAGTTTCAGAAGTATCTATTTAAAGCCATATTGTGGACACCAAAGTGAAAGCAGTGAAACCTGTCAGCAGATGATTAAGTTTTATGGTTGATTTTCACACTTTTATAGGTTGCCACCAATATCAAGTTTCTGGGAAAAACATCCTTCCTCTCTCCCCACCCTCAATCATTAAACCAAGGTCTCTGCCTGTTGGCGTTAGATGCATCCTCAGGATAAAGGTGTATCACAGTCATTCTTTTTTTTCATTTTCCACTTATCCATATGAGAAGAGTTACTTCAGTGTTTTTCTTTTTCTCCTTGGGTCTAGAAGCGCTTAGATTGTTGTACTATTATATATTCCACAAGGAAAACCTGCACATCGCTCGCTACTTTTTCAGTTCCGGAGACCACCAGTTAGTGGTATTATTTCTGGGTGAGTGGAACACCCTTTACAAGCAGCTGGAGGAGGTAAGCACGTCCCTAGATTATTGGCTTTCCATTGACTCGTCTTTTAAGAAAGCGGCACTGTTCCCACGGAAATTAACGACCATTCAACTCGGAAAGGCTTGAAATCTTAAGGCTGAAGTGGAGGGAAAAAATTGGATTGTTATGGGTTCGGTTACTATTTGAGAAGGGCAAGTGGGAGTTAGTGAAGGGTGTTATTAATGGGACTTTAGCAAACCACTCATTAAGACTGCACGAAAATTAAACCTGTGCAGGCCCCAGAGGATTTTTTTTTAAAAAAAGCTTCAAAAACTTAACTTCAAACAAAATTTAAGAAATGTGGAATTATTATAAATTCAGCCTGCGTTCTTGCAAGATCACCTCCTCTGTCACCTCAAGCCTGAAACTGGGCACAGGTGGGAGGACTCTGCAAAAAAAAGCAGCTTTTTCAAAACTGTTTTTCAACGCTAAACGGTGCGCTCTAAGAACTTCGGGGCGGAAAGCGGGTCAGCCAGCGCAGTTTCGTCCCCCGGTTGCTAACCTCTCTGCCTTTGCCGTCCCGCCGCTCCCCCCCGGCCGCGGCCTCCAGCCAGGGGGCGTTTGTTTATGTGACGTCCGCCGTAGTAAGCAGTCCCCGCCCCCGTTTCCCTCTGGCCGCCGCGTTTCCCGCGCCGCGGCGCTTCTCCCCTTAAAAGGACAATAGAGGCCTCGGGAGCGCGCGCGGCCGCCAGGCCTTCTCCCCTCCCAGCCCGCGACGCGCGCGCGCCCTATGCAAAGTAGTTCGATTCAAGAGAATTTTGTACCGGGAGCCGCGCGTGCGCAGAGGGAAAGCGGAATCTACACCTTCCCGGCCAGCGGTAGCAACTGCAGAACTGCAGGAGACAATCTTTCTAGACAAGGCAGTTGAGGAGGAGGGAGCGCTTGGAGGGGGGGTTGGCCTGGCGTGCACTCCGCACCTCGGGGACGCTGCTGCGCGTGGAACGGCTGCTTTTGGAAGGTGAGTGGCCGTAACTATCGCTCTGGTGCAAAACTGTCTCAGGAGGCTTTGATTTCCGAGTGTTTTTTTTTTTTTTTCTTCTCTTTTCACCTCACCCACCTCCCTCCCCCGTCCTTCCACACACACACAGACACACACAGGAAGTTTTGTCTTGGAGATGGCATTGCTGGGAGCGCTGTTTGCGTGATCTCGAGAGCCCAGATTCCTTGGTGTACACACGTTTACTGTGTATTTATTAATTGAGGAGGGTACGTGAGGCAAAACCGAAAGTCTTGGGGTTGGGGAAGTGAGCGGAGCCGGGAAATAATTGAGGAGTGGCCGGAGTTGAGGGAGATCCACGTTGAAGGTGACAATGACTTTTCTCAGCCGCAGTGTTCTCTCGCGGGAAGGAGCCCGGTGGCCGCAAGGCCCGGGGGAAAAACGACTAGCTGGCGACCGCGGAGCGGCCCCGGGGTGGTCGGTGCGCCCGCGTGGGCGCGAGCCCCGGGCAGGGTCGGGCGCCGTTGTTTAAACCTCGTGGTGTTTAGTCCACCGCGGCCCCTCGCGCGTGTTTTGAGAAGGGTGGACAATAAACGCCATCCGCTCGGAAACTAAGTTGCCATCCGCTTCCGAGCTGGCGGCGTGAGGGGGTTTAAATCGGCCTGTGGGGGTCAGCGCTGGGCTTTGGCGGAGCGCACGCGGCGCGGCGTTGTTTGCTCAACTCAGGAGGGATGCGGATGCGACAATGAGAGCAACACGCGGTCGCTCAGGAGCGGCCCCGGCTTCCAGACGCCTGCTCTCCTCGGACCGCGCCCAAGAGCGCCTGGTGCCCGGGGTGTCTTCGGAGCCTGAAGTTTTGCTCCCCATTTGTTCACCTGTGGCGTAGGTGTGGGCGCCGGGGCGAGGGCCCCCTATTTCCAGGGCGCCGTCTGCGGTTTAAGATGGCCAGTTAAGCCAAGTTGTCTCGGGGATGGAGGCGGTGGCGTTGTCTGCGCGGCAGGAGTGAGTGAACTCCTGGGCACTGCTTTTTGTGCTGTACATGACAGACCACGTGCTCCGGGCTGCGACCCCGGTCCTGGTCTGAATGTCCAGCTCCTCGTTAGCAGTGGGATGCGGTCGCCGTCCGGTAGGTCCGGCCGGCAGGACAATGTGATTTGCCGATGATGGCGTCTTGCCAGTTTAAAAAGCAGAGTGAAAGTCGCCAACTCCGCCTGTGCGGGGCGGGCGATCCGGGCGTTTCTCATCAAGGACACTGCAAAACTTTGATTAAATGGGCCCTCTGCCGAGGGGAGGGCCGCAGGACCGGGCTCCGGACTCTCCGGGCGCGGGGGCCGGACCCTTCCCCGGGGTGATCGTCAAGTGTCTCGCCCCTGAGAAACACCCCGACATCCCTGATGCTGCACGTAGGCAGCGCCCGGCTGGAGAGAAAACAAAGAGCTGCATGTGCCCGTGCGGGCCCCCGGGCTCAGGGCGACCGCCAGGGCGGACGGCCGTGCGGGCCGGGGGCCCCCGAAGTTCGGGCGAGTTTCGGGAGGGGCTTTTGTCCCTCAGCCCCTCGTGGGGAAACTTTGGCGGCGCTACTAGTGTGAGGTGCCATGCCGCTGCGCAGGGAGGCGGCGTGCTTCCCCGCTTCGGCGGGCGGGCGGGCGGGCGAGGGAGGCGACAGTGTCCGGGCCCCCGGCGCTTCAGCCCCGGGCGCCGGGGGCCGCGACGGCCGAGGGGCCCGGAGAGCGTGGCCCGGACTTCTCGGCCCGTTACCCGTGGCCCGGGAGCCTGTGTCTGGGAGGTCTGTGGATTCGCCTTTGAAGTCGAACTGTTGCCATGTTTGAATTACGTCAGGGCAAAGCCATGAGGAGGAACAAGCCCCGGCAGCGCGGCGTGCGGGAGGCGCGGCCTGCGGGAGGCGCCGGGCCGGGCGGGCGCGGGGCCCGTTGTTCCGGCGCAGGTGAGGGAGGCGACGGCGAGGTCCCCTGGAGAGCGGCCTTCCACTGGGGAACTTTCCTCCCGACCCGAGATGTCTTATTTACCAACAGATCCACCAGGGAGCATTGCTGTTTGCTGGCTCGGTGTCCCTCTCTGCGGTCACCGCGTGCCCGAGGGGGAGGCGCAGTTTGGGGGGGCGTGGGAGGATCGGGGAGGCATTTTGCTGCTTTCGGGGAAACGGGCGAGTGCGGCGAGCGCCTCCGCGGCCGCCGAGGTGTGGCCCGCACGTCCAGGGGACCCAGCCCCGACGACACGCGAAAAACCACCGTGGGGAAGTTTGGGGCTCCCGGTTGTCCTAGGGGAAGTGAGGACTGTGGGCGAACCGTGTGTGCAGCCGGTTTCTTTGTGTGTTTACGCGTGGGAGGGGAGACTGGGAGGGGTACGGTTTGTTTTGGTGGTGGGGAGGGTTGGTTTCTTGGGGTGGTAGGGCGGTGCAGTTTGTTCTGGTAACTATGACCCCAGTCAGTTTCTTTTGTTTTTAGTTTCTTCCTCTAACCTTCCATTACCGCAGGCACTCAAAAGATTAGGAATTACTGGTTAGCCAAACATGGACCCTATGCGACACAGTTTTACCCCAGCATTCCTGTCCTAAGGAGGGGTTAAGACAACTTTTTTTCCTTTTTCTTTTAAGAATTTAGAAAAATGGATTTGACCTTGTCACGAAAAGTACACCGAAAGCACCTGTTTTTGAACTGGAGTTTGCCAGACTTGAAAAGCCTTTTAATAATTGATGTTGCAAAACGGAACACGTTTAGTTGCCCAATCTAAATTAAAGTCTGGGAGTTTGTTTCTGGTGGCGTTCGGGAGGAAACCTTGATGACATTGAAAGTATTTATATAATGATTTGGGGTAGGGGAATCTTTTCTGGCCGATAGTTATGCACGACTCAGTGTTTGCTGATTATTCACAGCGTTATCTGAGGATGACCTTGAAGAAACAAGTATTTAGGGAGTTGGGCCTTTCAAAGATATTATAAGGGTACTGGGGGAGGAAGCTGCTCAGGAAGATGACACAGGGTAATGGCTAGCTGACCCTGCTAACGTCTTCCTAGTTCCTGTGAACTGGGGTTGACCTTCTGGTTACCCCTCCTAGATTTTCTTTTCAAGCTAACTTTTTTTGTATGTGGCCCCAGGCATAGCTCAAAAATTATGCTGGTTTGACACATGGATGCTTCTTTGGTATTTGGGGTTTGCCTGCAGTCTAGACATCCGATAAGCACTACCATATCTGTTGCTTTTCTCCCGATTTCTCCTGCATTTAAATCATGTTTAAGGATTAGAATCTAAAAGTGGTCGGGGAAATAATAATATCCTTAGAATGCCCTGCCCTCACACACCAAGTTGAAATCCATTTTTTTTTCATTGTTTTATTAAACACATTTATCTCAAGTTTTGCTTGACCAAATTACAAATACTGAAAGGCAACCCATATTAGTACATTTCTAAAGTGAATAGAAAGAGCATGTCAAAAAAAATGAAAAACTTTGGATTTAATAACTTTGGCTTTCCTTTGAGCAGTTATTTCTCTGCATGGTTAAATGCATCTGAAGTGCTTTGCTAATACACTGAAATTGTTTAACTTGTTTTTCTTGCTTAGTATTTTATAGTCAAGTTAATGGCTAGAATTTCAGTATTCTGGGTAATTTAAAATACAACATATAGAACTTAATGGTTTTTGTTTTAATAGTCAGATGATATGTATGACAGATTTGGTTTATCAGGATGAATGAGTTTAGGGTGAGAAAGACACACCGACAGGTCTTTACTGCTTTCTCTTTGTATTGTTTTTGTGGGAGGTTGGCAGGGTAAAGTTCAATAGGTAGTATATTCTAGAACCTTGGTGGATAGCAGGCCGAACAGCTGTCCTTGCCCAGTATTCTTAATTCTATATATCTGGAACCTGGATGGTCAGCTTTTTCCCCATAGTTGCCATTAGGTTCTGGGAAAACCTGACTGATGGGGCTCAAACTCGGGTATATTTATGTCAGAAAAGTGATTTGAGAGCAATTTTACATGTAAAAATGAAAGCTTTTCACTGGGGAAAGCTTAAGCTTATTTGAAACCTAAACCAATGTCAAAGGCTGTTTTAAGGACACATTAATTAATTTACCATGCCAGGCACATAGTAGGTTGCTTTAAAAATAGATCATTTTCTTTTTTGCTTAAGCGATGGTAGGAATATAATTGGCTGAGAAGAAAACACATTGAGGCACTAGGTTAGTTGTTCAGAGGTTTCTGTGGTTAATAATGCCTGGGTTCCAAAGCTGTGATCATCTCAGATTAAGTCACTTTGTGGTCCAGTTTTCTCATCTGTAAAATGGCAATAATACCTATCTTATAGGGTTGTAAATAATTAAGCAAGTAACGTGGTTGATAAATACTGGCTGCTGTTGTCCTCATGACATTTTACTGGAGATAAAACTGAGGCTTGGGTCAATTACCTTGCCTAGGGAAACATTCAGTAAACGTTGAATGGAAAGAATGAGTGTCTTTGGCCCCCTTCCCCACCTTCAGAAACTGGTTCTGGGAAGACACTGCCCTCAACTCCTTGTTGCTTTTCCAATTCTGATTCAACCATTTTACATCAAAAAGTCCTGTGGAGACCTAGAAAAATGCCATTTTCTTTCTTTCTTTCTGATTTCTCTTGTCCACAAGAGCATCCTGCATTACCCACTTAGTTTTGATTATGGGGATTTTAAGTTGAGAAAATGTTGTCTTTTGCTCCTTCAGTTTCTCTTTCAATTGAATCTACAACTAAGTTTTTTTGTATTGTGGAAATAATCTGGAAATGCATCTAGTCCAAAAGAAGGGAGTTTGTTTTAAGGTTCCGAGGTTTTCTTTTTGCCCCAGAAATACTAAAGTTACAAGCACATTTGCTATTACATATTCAAGTACAAAAGTTGCAGTTGAACTAAAATCATTTCTAGCTTTGTATTAGTTGTTTCCACTTGTTATAAGTTTAATTTGGCTTAATGTTATTTTAATTTTGGTGAATAGTAATATGTGCTGAATTGAACTAGCTCTCTAATTCATTTGGTT